TGCAGAACTCCAGCATGTTCGTGAGGCAGGATTTCCCTTTCCATAGCTCATGGAAAGSAAAGGGAGCTCAGCACTCATGCTTCCTCATAGACCTTGCTCTATGCTGGGCTCAGGGATCTACTTTACTGTAGATTCTACTCATTTATCAGGAAGGAAGGAAGACTCTGTATCTGTAATTTTCAATATCCTTTCCAGTTATACAGGCGTGCACGAGTCCTCTGGCACCATGGCCGTTCATGTGGCCTCAGCTGTATGGCTATTTACACAATTTCACACTGAAGTTTTTTCAGGGATTTTAGGAGAATGTTATCCACCCTTAGGGACACGTTAACTTATCTCTTTGGTCTAACACTTCCTATTTACTGATCTGGCCTCTTGTTTGGCTTGCTGTGGCTTATGTGGCACCAAGAAAGGCATAAGCTGTGGAAATCTCAGTATCTTCAGAGGTAATAACTGATGAAGGAGTACATGGAGCATCACTGGTACCTTCTCATCCAGGAGTGCCCATTTCATGCTTTTGCCATCAAGTTGGTCCCACTTCTTCCCCCTTCCTATTTCAGGTATTTTTCCAGATGTCTGAGCATCCTTTGAAGGGTGTTGATTAAATCCTATTTTATCTTTCTTTCTTAATTTCTTGTTTATGTTTGACCTGCTATATTTTATGGCTTTTCCTATTTTTATTTGGGCAAGTTTTCCATCTGTTAAATGCTCATTTTTTTTTTCTATAGTAAGTTTCCCTTTGAACCCTACAGGAGAATTTTCGATCATTTTGTTTTCTATTTGAATTGTGGCACATGTTTTACCTGAGCTTCTAATACAGTATTTATTAATACTGTCTAGCCTGTTTTAGGCCTCTAGCTTTGGGGCACATACTAGTCAACAGGACACGGATAAAAAAGGGAAAAAAAAAAAAGAAAGCCTGGAGAATGACTCTGTAGAATGGAAAGGGCTTCACTTCCTTGAAAGCACTCTAAGATGTAGGTGATTTGTACAATGGCTTCTTAAAAATCCATAATGCTGGTGTGGAAGATGATTTAATTTCCAATGGGGGAAAAGGGAGAGTGATTATTATTTCTTTACCAAAAAAATGGTTGTTTATGCTTGGAATATTTTGGCAATGTTCTTGTGCATATTTATGGACATAACTTCAGATMGGATGGATGGTGGTGTTTGAGTAAAAAGGACCACATTAGTTGTCCTTTTATCATCCAGATAAGCAGCAGCTGGGCTAGTTAGTACAGATAGTGCTTTAGCGAGCAGCTGTTTCTTATCTCAATGACAAAGGGTCAGGGTGGAGATCTTACTCAAACAAAAATCTCCTCTCTGTTCCTATTTTAAGAGAAGGGGCAGAAAAGGAGTTAAGGGGAGTCTGTGCCACAGAAGGCTCTCTGTGTCTTTATGAGTACGATTGTGAATGACAGACCAATGCTAGGACCCCAGAGAACTCTCTCTGTTCAGCCTTGAAAAGAGGCAGCTAGAGGGGGATCTTATCAATGCGTGCAAACACATAGTGGGTAGTGGGAAGGAAAACAGAGCCAAACTCCTCTCAGTGGAAAGAATGAGAGGAAATGGTCACAAATTGAAATATAAGGAATTCCATTTCAACATAAGAAAGGTTTTTTTCTGCTGTGCAGGTGATCAAGCATGGGAGCAATTTGCCCAGAGAGGTTGTGGAGTCTCCATCCTTGGAGATCTTCAAAATCTGATGGGACATGGCCATGGACAACCTGCTCTAGGTGATCTTGCAGGGAGGTTGGACAAGATGMTCTCCAAAGGCCCCATCCAACCCCAGTCGTTTGGTGACTTCAAAGCTGCAAATGAATAAATGCTGTTCATAGCCCTTTCTGGAAGTGTATGGAGCCACTCGATGCCTAGCTGGATTTTCTAGCTAGGTCTTCAAGGCAGCTCAATGTAATTTGTACATTTTTGCTTACGCTATCTATTCTTTATCAGTTAAATTAAATTWTACCAGGATGTCACCAATACCTGTGAGTAAGAATGGGTCACTCAAGTTTCTTTTGAAGTGACTTGGGAAGAACAGCTTTTTATTTGAACTAGTATGACGATGCACTGGTGTTCTGTGTCTTGTCATCAGCACAGATTCCAATTTTAAAGTATTTTTTTCTTACAGATTTTCTGCAAATAACATTAGATTTTTTTTTTTTTGTAAAAGCCATCTCTGTATTTCCTGCCTAATTTTTGCTGTAAGTGGCATTGTATCTTATCATTAAGTATTTGTGTTGATACCTTTATTTAAACACATCATTTGAGATGCTAATTAGAAATAGAAAATATTTTTCTCATGAAAATAATCAAATACATGATTCAATTAAAAAAAATTATACACAGAGTCCCTGCTATGCCTTTTATTTGCGCTGCAGTCTGCTACTTTACCTGGTGTGCAGTATTATGTATTTCTCTGATTCATAGCTTTCTTCTTATCTGTATCTTTCTAAAAATCTGTTGAGACCTTCTTACAAATGAGTTTGAAAGTTGATGGGTTGTCACATGTARAAGGTCTGTGTGATACGGCTCACTAAAAGTTGGACAGTTGTTACATAAAGTCATCAATATAGTGCTGGGAAAATAAATCCCAAAGCGCTTTGATATTTTCACCTGGTATTGAAAGGCACTGCAATAAAGGTTAGTTTATCGTGTAACGCATTTGTCATGTAGCTTTAAGCTCCCAAGCAGCCTAGTGTTTTCTACCCTCTTTTTCTTAACGTACAGTGTTTCAAAATTCAAACATTTTTATTCCTTTTTGAATTTGCTTTTGAGTTCTTTAAATCAGAAGCTATGAATATTGTTTAATTTACTTTTCAGTAAAGCTGTCAGTTGTAATCTGCAAATTAAAAAAAAAGTAAAACAAATCCTCATTTCACAATTTAAACCTTACTGAGTCTAATTCACTTGCACTGCAAGTTTATTATTCTTCTGCAGCTTGACGTGCCTCCAATTGTAATTGTGTTGACCCTCCGATGCAGTAARTCTCCCCCGTGCTTATCAAACTGGGAGAGATAAGTGTACAATTTGGAACTTCATTAAATATCTCATTTATATTAAACAGATGATGGCTTTGAACAGAAATAATAACTTTTGCAGGCGATGCGACCTCGGGTTGTGGTCTCAGCCACTCTGGAATGCAGCGCTGCTCAAATCCCCAGCCCTCCGTGTCCTGGGCAGGCAGCCAGCAAACCCAATGTCACAAGTTGTTAGTCCAGCGAGTTGACTTCAAAGCCTCTGTCACGAAGCCTGTAGTTAAGAGTCCTTTGTAGTCCTTGAAGCAGTTAAAAAAAAATATCTTTCATAGCATGCATTTCTTTGTCATCTGGGAACTGTGGATGATGATTAATAAGAGGCAGCTATTTAAGAAAAAAAGCAAACAAAACAAACCCAAAACAAACATGTTGCTTGTTATTGTAATTCCTGAAACCATGAACTGTTTTTTGTTTGCTTGTGTAGAGACCAGGCCTATGAGTAAAGCATTTTCAGTTCCTCGTGGCTTTGTTCCATGTCTTGCAAAATTTGGTTCTTTACTGTATTTCAGTACCTATAAAATGCATTTTAGATATGCACTTTAATATGAAAAGTTATGTTTCTCAAAATAGATAATGAATGATGTGTGAGGTAATATGCTTATCATGCAGAAGATCTATTTCTTTAAATTTGTTTAGTAGATATTGTTTTTTCTCGAGGAGAGATTGTTTCAGCTCACACTGTAGATGAGTTGATTTAATGGTCTCAGTTTGTTCTGTGCATTATCAGGTAACTAGAGCTGTGCAGGTGCTGAGGTTGGGGGCGAGGGGCTGAGTGATGGTCGGGTCCGTCTTTTGCCTCCGTGGTGGTCACTGGCAGCAGCTGGTTGGTTGCTGACAAGTTGSCAGTCGCAGTTGTCACCAGCGCACGGGGACTCATCACCCTCTGAGGTCCCGCGTAGGCAGCATTTGCAGAGCTGCCCATAGTGAATGGGGTATTTAAACCAATAAAGGTGATTTCAAATAGAGGTGATTTCAAACCTTCTTCTTTCGTTGCCCTCTAAGAACCCCCCTTTTTGAGGTATATTCAGGGGAAAAAGAGGTGACCATTCTCCATAAGGGCTGAAGTAGGTAGTCACTTGGAAGAATCTGGAGAAGGACAACAATGAGGGCAGAAGAATAACTGCTTGTGTGTTTTTTCCCCTATTTACATGGAAAAGCAACATGTCTCTCTCTGCTTCTCCACTACAAACTTGATTTGGTTCTTAATGCGCCAGCTAGGCCTGGACCTAGACCCTTGGTGGGCTGGGGCCTGCAGGGCTTTGCCAGTTCTGCCTTTTGTAAATGTGACAGGATGCTGCAGTCTGGCAGTAATCAGGAAAGATCCACGACTGAAGGAAGTGTGTGAAATCTCTTTACCCTGAGGGCAGGAAAGGCAGAGCAAAGAATTCCTCATAAGCATCAATAATAACAATAATGGAAAGCCGCTTTTTTTTTTTTTTTTGTCCTAACTACAAAACCCCTGAGTGTTTGTGTATTGGTTACTGATACACATAGTGGAGTTTCATGGGGGTTTCCATGATGATTGCATTTGAAAAGAAAACACACTACTTCCAAAGGCATCAGCAGCCCAGCTCCAGCCGGGCTCCTGTTCTGTGCTCCTGGAAGGAGGCTTGTTCTGTCAGCCTGTCAGCACGTGCAAGATAGTCCAGCTGTCTGCCTAGTAATACTGTCTAAGAAATGGTGCAACAAAGATACACCAAAATGCAATCTTTTTTTTTTTTTTTTTCCCACCAATTTTCTGCTGAAAGATTTGAGATTTGACAGGGCATCGTGGGAGGCGCAGTGCAGAGCGGCACAGAAAGTTGGTCATTAAGCAAAACTGTCATTGCAAATTATATTTGTCCAGGGTGAAAAGTTCTAGCTCATTTGGTGCCCAGACAGGTCTAGGCCTTAGGCAAGTTGTCAAAGTTGCCCCATGCTGCTAAATGGATGCTCAGCACTGATTCTCCTCTTTCTATGCAGTTGGAGTCACCTGCGAGCCCCTCCGGGCCAGAGCTGCCTATAGAGACTGTCTTGGATGACAGGGAACGTAGGATTTCCCACTCGCTCTACGGTGGGATCGAGGGCATCAGCGAGTCACCCACGAGGAACGCTGCGCTGAGCAGGATAATGGGTGAGTCAAACAGCCTCTGCTCAGCACACCTGGCCTTTCTCCTTCTGTGATGCTTTGAAGGGTGAGCAGTGTATTACTCATGTGAAACGTGGGAAAAGCAGGAAAAAGGAAAGTTGCTCTGACCAGTTTAAAACAGGCCTTAAAATTGTTCCACAGAAGCCTTCTAGATAGCTTAATATGAGAAAGAACATCAATAAATGGATATATGAAGTGATTTTGATATCCCATAGCAGGTAATGGAACAAATAACAGGAGCATTTAACATTTTTTTTCAGCATCTGATCTGACAATAAATTGTTTATTAGTCTAGTCTGCATTTTGAGTCTTTACTCAGATTAAAAGTCAGTGAGTCCTCCTATAAGGAATTTATGATTATATTTCTTCATTTGTTCTTCATTTCTCCTCTACTTCAGTCATTTTTATCCAACAGTAACTAATGAAAATCTGCCCCCGTTTCTGCTTACTAGGTTCTTTCATTATTTTGGTTGATTTTTTGCTTTGCAGGACACCAATTTTAAAGCCTCCTGACTTATTTTAAGCATGCTTTGTTTAGCTTCCATGCCACACCATCTGCATGGCCCCAGTGAGTAATGAGGTCATTAGCAGTTGCTCCGCARCAGTTCAGCTTTCTGTGTACAGACCTAGGCAATAAAGACATTTCTTTTTGCCACAGAAATGGTTGGATTTACTGACTAGCATGGGATTAGCTTGAAAGGATTTTCAAATTTAAAACAAAAAAAGAAGTTTGATTAAAATAACTTCTGACATAAGAAACTCTGATTGCTTGCTTGAGTTGCAAGTTTTAAACATAAAATGCAGCCATTAAATCTGCATTTTTTAGTGTACTTGACATCCATGACCTATATTAGTAGAGGCAGTTGCCATGAACTTGATATGAAGCCAGACTGAATTTAGATTTGAGTTCCTTAAGATGGATTTTCATCTTTAGAAAGTGGAAGTCCATGATTTAGGCCCTTTTTCCAGTTAGGAGCTGGCATACGTATTTTGCTCTGTGTGTGCTGGTGTTTTGTTGTTGTTGTTGTTTTGTTTGTTTTCTAATTCTTATCTTTTGAGATTTTGTGTAGTAACAAAATAACAATGCTGTTGAACTTTCTGAAAAACCACAATTTTCCTGTTAGGATACTTCCTGCTTCTTTTTTTTTCCCTTTGTATTTGTGTGTGCAATTAAGCAGCAGTAATTAAAAATAAGTCATGTTCTAGTCTATTGCATTATATGTGGTGTAAATCAGAAGAAATACTGTATTTTAGAGTATCTAGGCTGTATGAAACTTTTTCACCCAGTCATATGCACCCATATGCATTAAAAAATATTTTTTTAATGTTTATATTCATTGAAAAATTTAAGGATTGACAAGGTAATCTGATGTCTTTAGGATTACTTTTCCAAATAGGGGCTAGTGAATTTTCATATAGTTTCAGGGGGTTCGGTAAAATACTTGAAAAAAAATAATTTCTGCTTTTTCCATCAGCATTTCAGAGGATTTACATGTAGGATTGAAATAAATCAGTTAAACACTTTGTCCAGCAGTGGGAGAACAGACCTGGAGAGCTTGTGTGCTCACATCTTAAACACCCCAGGTTAATTTCCCATCACAGGAGCACAGCATTTGCCGTGACAAATCAAAGTAGGGATTCATCAAATCTGGTATCAAATCTTCCGTTAAGAGCAAGCAATAAATGATGTTTCATCAAAAAGACAAAAACCGTAACAAGAATCGTATAATCTAAAGCTTTTGTTTCCCTCTGCAATGTTTCCATCCTGCTTTTTTTAAGGTTTTCTTACAGACATTCTGATTTCTTATGAGTCTGTATTGTTTTGAGAGACCAGGAACTGTGTGGGAAGATGTTTTAAAGTAGATTCTGACTTAAAACCATTGATGGATTTAAGTTGGAAGCACTTGGAAGATCAAATCATGCCTGAACCGCTTAGTAGATGTGATGGTTGCAATTTTAGGTTGCCRTTGGTTTTCTAATATCTTAATCTTTCTGAAGGTGTAAGCATAATTAAAGTAGAAACTCAGTGTTTTCGAACTCCTGTCATATTGTTGCCTGTGMATTTCTTTGTGTAGAACACATGTTTGCACAAATCTTTGCAGCTGTTTTAGAATGGCTAAAGGTTGTAGAAATGAGTCTTTATTGTCCAGTGGACTCCAGCGTGTTTATAATGAGAAAAACCTCAGAACTTTTATTTTCCCACACATGCMTTTGTGGTGTTACACAATGTTGAAAAAGATCTTCCTCTCCCGAAAATTGGCTTAAAAAGCAGGATTATTCATAGGAACAGTCTGGCTGAGTAAAACTGGAGGTCTGTTCTTCTGTATATTGTGTCTGGCCGTGAAGACAACTGAAAAAGCCCTGCTGGTTCCTGAGTACTCACCCAGTACCTACTGGTCTTCAGTCTTAAGGCCTCGCTGTGACAACTGKTGACTTTTTATTTAGCCTTGAGAGGATTTAAGAATGTAAACTTTTAATGTTCTTGGTGCCTTGAGATGAGGAGGTCACAGCTGGATTTTGTGTGTGAAGGACTCTGTCTTTTTCCATAGTATGGGTGGCTTTGAGCTGTCTCTCTTCCTAAGTTAGTCAAAAGTGATAATCTCAAGATCTGAAAAATTCCAACTCTCCTCAGACATTTCTTAAAGTTGGGTAAAAAACAAAAGCCAAATTTGAAATGGCTTTTAAAGAGGTATATCTATAGCAATTTTCAGAAAGGTATTTAAGACTGTTTTCCTGCTATTTCAGTCTAGTAACGGGACCTTGTTGTCAAAGTCCTGTTGTGAGAGCGGGAATAAGGTACCTGTTTTAGAACACTCTTTAAGATGTAGAAGAAATATTTGCTTACTGCAAGACTACGTGGTACTTTTAAAGTTTCCAGTGTTACMTATGTAGAAATATTTCTTTTCCTAGAAAATAACTATTGCTACTAATTTTTGTGTTTTCTTCTGCTTTTCAATTGATATTTCACTGAAAAATGTTTAGGGAGAAGAGATTACTCTTTCTGCTTTCATGGACTGATATTTTGTTTTGACCAGGTCATTTCTCTGTATATATTGTGGGTGTTCTGTTCAAAAAACATAATAGTTGGATTAAACCCTTCCTCTTATTTATTTATTTTCAGTATTTTCCTGTAGCCTGTTTGTAGTACATTCTAAATAATAAGTGTGTTGTTTAGCTTGTTTGGCTACCTGATTAAAAACTCAAGTCTCTGTTTCTGATAGACCCTCCTTGCATATCATCCAATAAGCTCCAAGGTTTTGCAATACACAAATACGTAGCTGCTATCTATATAAATTATTCTTACTGAACAAGAAGCTTAGCACAAAGTCATCTCTCATCCTTTTCTTTTAGTTGCTGGTATTTTTCTTAAGAAGATGACAGGTTTTCTTGCTAATGGTAATGGCAAATGGTAATTCTAATAGTAAACAGAAGTTATTTACCACAGTACACAGAATAACAATGGCTTACACTGAATCTACTTTTCATCCTCCAGGATCCTCCAGAACAACACAAACTTCTGTATGTGCTATACAACAGGAACTACATAAATAATTGCTGTCTTTGGGATGCAATCAGGAGAAAGCACTACAGAAAAATTCAAAGCTAGAGATGTAGAGTGGGGTGTCAATTAAACAGAGATTTTGCTTTGCAAGCCCAATGCAGTTCCCCCGGTAACAATTTATTTGGAGCATGTTGGGCTTCTTGGAAATTCTGAGCACCCTCTTCAGATCTGATGCCTGGATAGAGTCAAGGCAGTTTTGTACAATAAGCAAATGATGCCTCTTTCATCAGCGCATTCATGTTAGAGACTGGTTCTTGGAGGTAGTTCTAATAAGTAGAAGATAAAGATACTGCAAAATTCCCTTTTTTTTTCCTGCAGTATCATCAGCTTTTCTTAGATGTTCCCATACAAGTAATTCCAGTCCTATCTCTGTTTAGAGTGGAAAATTAGATGATGTGGACATTTCACCATAACACAGATTCACAGATTCACAGATTCACAGAATATTTAAGGTTGGAAGGGACCTCTACAGATCATCTAGTCCAACCTTCCTGCTCAAGCAGGCACACCTACAGCATGTGGCACAGGGCGGCATCCAGGCGGGTTTTGAAGACCTCCAGAGTAGGAGACTCCACAACCTCCCTGGGCAGCCTGTTCCACTGCTCTGTCACCCTCACAGKRAAGAAGTTGCTCCTCATAACATAACTCCGTATGTTGATACRSASAAAGGTGCCATTAGTATCAAATGAATAMATTAAGATTTGGATAAGTTCTGGTTTTCTACTGAATGTTTCCCTGAATCTTTCCTGTTGGATTATCTTATCACTATTATCATTATAATCAAAATAATTTTATTATTATTTCTATGGTTATTTTCTTACCTTCTATACTTGTGGAAATAAGGCCTTATCTTGAGATTGCCAACACGTTTTTCATTTTCTACAAAAGTGTATTAAGTTTGGGAGGATTGAGGGACAGAATTTTTTTTGAGTGTGCTCAATATTTCATTATTTGTCCCAATGTAGTAGTTGCTACATTGATTTGGCCTGATCTGGTATGTCAGAGCAAGAAGCGGCCCTCTAATTTCTGGTGGAAGAAGCTTAAAGTGGACAGTTGATCTGAATCACATAATACCAAAATGCTCATCAGAATGAGTAATRATACTTGGATTCCTTTTGAGTGGGACTGTTGTTCACTTTACATAGTGCATATGTTAGGGTTTTTTTCTTTTTTCCCAAGAGCTTTATTTTTGTGATTTAATTCACGTCCAGACTGTGTTCCTGTTTGAGGAGTAGGTGGTTGGCATAGCTCTCCTTCTAAGTCAAAAGTCCTTTTAGAGCTGGAGACCAGTTGTTTGTAATGGGAACTCTGAGCCTTTGCTCTCCCTGCCCAGGTGGGTGTGAAGCCTTTGTGAATCTACCTTGCTGTGGTGTTGGGATGATGGTCATGGTGTAGGTGGTCACTGCAGTAAGTGTGAGCCTCATCCCCGAAGTGTGACACTCTGCAAAGGGAAGATGTTTTCCCTTCCTTCTTACCCCATCCAAAATACTATGTGTTACCATGTAGCTTACCATGCTGAAGGCAAATGAATGGACGCTAAACTGGACTTCAAATATCTTCAGATTCTGATTTGAGTCGAGTTTTTCTAGCCTGAGAGAATATTACTGTCTTTTGTACGTTTGTAGACAGCTTGAACAAAGCCTCAGATTTGTAGATCAGTCACAATGCGCTGATGCTTACTGGGTTTGAAGTTTCTTTGATGTTTCCCTGTAATATTTCTCAGAAAAAAAATGTGAAGTTACTTTTGCCAAGGATGCTTTTCTATCCTCTTTAGCTGAACTCCCCGCAAAGGGCACATGGACTCCTGTGTTGAGCTCTGCCCAACAGGCTGCTTTGGAGGTGAAGCCTTTCACCTGTTCCTAGCATCATCTGCAGTGAAAAGCATAGGCACGTTCCCGTGGTTTTCCCCCTATATTCCAAAGCAACTATTAAAATGTCACTCTTCACCCATGAAGAAGGGTAGGGAAAAGTTAAAAATGCTACTGAATTACTGAAGCCTCTCAAATGGGAAGCTCAATCTGCAGAATGCCATAAGGTTATACCTTTTCACAATGAATTCTTTGGAGACATTATTAACTGCACAGTTAACAATCTTGTAGGCATTACGTTTGGAAAGAAGTACATTACCAGGCTAAACATTAACCTGTCCATCAAAGAAGCTATTGCTGGGCAAAGAATCAGCTGTTATGCAAACTCAACGCATTCATTTCCCTTTCACAGTGACGAGTTGTTCACCATGTAGGTCCTTTTTCTTCCAGCTACTTTTACCTTTTTCAAAGATTTCGAAGCTGGGTTTACCCCCTTTGGAAAATGGTGTGTTAGTTTTCCCATACAGAAATACAGCATGTATTATCTCGTGCTGCAGGAATTTTAGAGAGCAGGATGGGAATTAGCTAATTCCTCTTTATGCATATTTTTTTTTCTTCTTGGAATAATTACATTTCAAAAAAGCAACAGTAGCCCACATAGATTTCCCAAAAAGGGAGATGAGGAAACAGTTTCATACGATCTTACAACTTCTTCATATTTATATTAATAATAACATGTGTAAGCATATGATGTGGCCACATAAGCAGTTAATATTATGAAAATAGACATAATTTTAAATATAGTTACTTAGATGCATTGTGTTTTACTATAATAATACAGATTGTTGTCAGATAAAGTACTGATTAAGCTAGTGGTCTTCTGTTCATGACGTGTGACAATTTTACTGTTTGGTGTGATAATACATTTTGAGTAGTAAAAGTCATACTGTGCCATGATCTTTCATTTGGAATTATGCTGAGTGGAATAAGAGTTAGGGCAAAACCTTTTAAATGGCCTTTAAACCTTTTAAAGTTGGGCATCAATATCAAAGAGGAAAATATTTTAAAAGACATTTTATTAACAGAAAAAAAATTGTGTGACTAATGTGAACTGATTTACCTCGGATAACTGAACAATTTTCTTCCATTTTTTCCAATCATTATTTTCCTGTTAACAAGGAAGTTAAAATCTTAAGAAGAACCATTCTATATTTCTACCTTCTCCCAAATAATGCTATATAATCCTTTTTCTCATTTTTTCAACAGTTTGAAAATGTAATAAAATATTACACATACACATAAATACTGGAAAATATGATTATGTATATATGTATATTAATTACTCTGAATGCAATAATGTTGATGATGTAAAATACTTAATGCATATTGTAATTGCATTTTACTAGGAAATGGTATTTTAGTAGTTTGTAAGAATCCTCTGAATATCCTTTTTAACTGCTACTGTCCTGAATTAGCCAAATGATGTCTGCGTACAGAGGAAGAGCAATATTCAATGTATATTGTGTTTCTTATRTGCAATGGCTCTAACTTGACAATTTTAGCATTACTGCCAGAATTTACATGAATTTTGGGGGGAAGAGAATGAAGACAGATTTTCACTTCTTTTTTAATGTCTCAAGTGAAATATTTGCATCTACATTTGAAGCATGTGTGGTATTTGTAGGTTATTTTCTAAAGGAGAAAATAAACAATTTTTCAAATTTGGATTTCATTTTCTTTTGTTGGCTTTAGCTGTGAGCTCTCATCACCTTTCACAATTCACAACTTTTGGCAGGCATTCTAAGATGGTTCCAAGTTCCTAACAGCAGTCCAAAAAGGTTTGGAATGTCTTTTGGGCAGTGTCTGATAATGAGAGGTGATGAGATTTATAAGTCCTCGTTGAACTTTTCCTTCATCTCTTCAGAAGAGTTTGGGGAAAGATATTATTTTCTTGCAGTAGGCTGCAGGTACATCTGATATAGGTTGCTTTTCAGACCTCTGCATAAGAAGACCCATATACAGCAAGACGTGTTTAATTTTAATATCTGTGTTGTGTCATTCTTATCAGGAGCAAGGTGGTTTGACATGACATTTTATCAGTTGCGGCCATATATTATTCAAGACTCTCTCTGCCATTGTTCAGTTTTCGGCGTCTTTTCTCTCCCATTGTTCAGGTAAATACCAGCTGTCTCCCACGGTGAACATGCCCCCAGATGACACAGTCATCATCGAGGATGACAGGTTGTCRGTGCTCCCTCCGCATCTCTCGGACCAGTCGTCATCCAGTTCCCATGACGATGTTGGGTTTGGGACCGTCGATGCTGGTGGATGGGCTAAAGCTGCAATTAATGAGTCAACAGACTGGTAAGAGCATCGTTTAGGGGAAGCAAGCAATAGATTAGTGCAGTTAAATCTTTTTTTAAGTTTAATTTTTGGCTGCTACTAATATTCATCTTTCCCTTTTTCCTCCGCATATTTAGATTACACTGTTTTCAAACATGTATTTGCTCTGGGTTCCAGTAAGGGAGTCTGACAGATAATTTACTGGACTTTTTGCATCTGGTTGCACAGCCCTGTGCTTTCTCAAAGCACATTTGTGGAAATGTTACTAATTGTTATTAACATCAAATGAGTGTATAGCTGTGCTGATTTGATTATTTGATAGTAATTTAGTTGCCCACTCAACTGGCTTTTATAAAAAAGCTTTACTAAATCTAARCACTTGAAGTTATGAAAGATTAAAATTGAATTTTGGTCAGAAAATTTAATTTATAAGTTTCACTGTAAATATATTTCTAACTTAAACAAAGATTTTGTTTTTATATTCCAATGCATATTTAGGAGCCTTTTAGGACCTCTATATACTTCATTGATTTTCCTAATAACATGCAGTAATTTTAAGATTTGCCTGGAAGTCAAGGGAGCTCTTTGTGTTGCACCGTTAGTGTTAATGCCTGTACAACAAGCACTAGTCCAGATTTCTTTATTATTCAGGAAGCAATACCATTTTTATAATAATATGGTTCGTGGCTGTCATGGGAAGGCAATATACTGTGGTAGTTCCACTTTTTAAAATAAAAAAAAGTAAATTTATATATTTAATCTATAATAAAACCAATTTCTTTGAATCCTAGGTGGGCTTTCTAATTACCTATAAGTGCTAACGAGAAATGCATTGAGGGCCATTATTAACTTGCTTATGGTCCTGGCAAAGAGATACTGTTTATTGCTTAGTACAATTAGTACAGATCTAAGATTTAATTTGCAAGTCCTGTAATTATCTATAGTCATAGCAAAATAGAAGCCCACCTCTGTACTGTGTCACTTCTTAAAGCTAGAGAGTTGCCACAAATGGCATGAAGTTTATGAATTTTCTTATTTCTCTTGTGTCTTGGATATGTTATGAATGTGTCAGCGATATCTTAATGAAACAGGAATAGCGCCTGTCAGCTGATATGCACCTGTCAGCTTCTTCTTTTTCATACTAGTTTATTTGATATCAGGTCCAGGAATTGAATTTTGTATTTTAAACACCGTTTTAATGAGTGTATTTAAAAGTAACTTTTTTWTTATTCTCATTTGCCTTTTTTTTAAATGTTTTTTTTTAAATGTTGCAGCTCTTCTCTTGAAGAAGTTATACCTGTAATTTGGGCCCTTGAAAAGTCCATCTGTCTATTGTAAAAGCTTTTAGAGCTGAAAATCTGAGATGTTTAAATAGAACAGTACTCAAGACTGCACATAATAGCTTATTGCTGAGTGARTTTTTTTGCCGAATGTGAGCAAAAACCTATAGCACAAAATAAAAGCCCATTTGAAACCTGCAGATGCTTTTACATTTACTTGTACAGCGTTTCTTGCTATTCATTTACTACTTTGAAAGTGACAGTAACAGTAAAGAAAATAGGGATTAGGTATTGTGGAATTCATCATGCTCAAAACCTTTAAACCTCTCTCTCCAGGAGAATTTGTAAAGGTCCTCAGATGCAATTGCAGTTAAAAGAGTAGATCAGTAGAGTACCTTGCTATATAATGTATTCTATTTGTAAAAAAATAAATAGCAGCAGAAGTAGATTGTTGCATTAATTTCCTGCTGCTAATGGATGAAGGAAGACTTGTAAAATGAAGGTGCATTGTATGATTTTGCTGGAAGGCACAAAGGGTAAAACTAAGAATACGGATGAAGGGTTATCCAAACAAGAATGGCAGCTGTTCTGAATCACAGAAGAAAATGTAAGCTTTTCCAGCCTGACAATATCTCCCTAATCCTTGATGAAAATGTTATGAAAACAAAGGGGCAATAAGACAGGATTAATAAGTGGAATTTTAATAACACCGAGGGTCAGAAGACGGTTACATTCTTTTAAGGATCAGCTGTCATTCCAGAAATCTTATTTGTTTAGTGTGCTAGAATATAGTAAATTGCATTTGGCATAGCTTAATGAGTTGTATTAAAAGACAGAAGGTGAATTTAATGTAGTTGGAAATATTAAAATGAGGCGTTTTGAGGGTATTAGTTACTTCTTAATTCTCATTGGCTTTTCCAGTTTGGGATCTTCTCTGGTGCTTTGGGTACTTTGTGGCCAAGTACATGTATTGAAACTTTGGTGAGCTGCCTCTTTCTTAACTAAACCACGCTTGTGGGTCATTAATATTATAAATAAACCTAGGTAGGAAAACTGAAGACCATACATAGGGGTCTGATATTTCAAGTGTAAAAAGATAYGAGAATTATTGATAGCAGAGTGTAATATATGCTGCTAAATGGCACCTTTATTATTCAGGTTACTTTGCAAATGTAGACTAAATAATGCCTGTAATAACTGAATAAGAGGGAGGGTTGATGAGTGTGGATAAGAGAAACTCAGAGGACACCCTTAGAAAGAATGTCAGTAGAAAAGCTGCGATTTGATGCCCAGAATTTCTGATAGCTTCTCCTGTGTTCAGATCATGCTGCTYTCTTGATAATCTGTGGTATCTCTTTGAAAATATATTCAACTTTTGAGCTTTATTATGTTATTAGGACTTTGAATGAATATATATGCGGAGGCTGTATTTACATGGAAATGATATTCTGCATTATCGAGCTCTTTATATATGCAGCTTAAAGTGAGTGGTTATATGGGCAAGCTCATGTGCAAAACATATAGTTTAAAGAAATTCACCCTCTTTGAATAACAAGTGACGTGTTATGTGCAGCAAGATAAAGCTGCTCTTTAACTAACGTGAGCTCTCTCGGCAGATGTTGCTAGAGAAAAATCTCACTTGGTACAASTATATTTTTTTTAGTGTTCAGAGGCTGTGTTGACTAGTAGTGAGCCAGAAACACTTGTGTGGCCTTTGGAAACTCATTTATGATCTGGTTATGAAAGGTGTCAGAACCCTGTAAGTTCAATTGAGTCATTTAAAGTACATCCACAAACTTGCACGGTTCCTTTCAGCTACTAGTTGCACTGCTGCAGGCACGTTAAATACACATATATACATAGGTCTTGTCTGTTTTACCTTTCTGTTGTAGAAATTGATAATTTTTTCCCTATTTTGCAGGAGTGAGTGTGAGGACTAAATAGTTATTTTTTGCTTCAGGCTTTTGATTCAATAGAGCCTTAAGCATATGCTTGGAAACGTGGCTAAATTGTGCAGACATCTCTGAAACAGTTGCAGTAATTAAATGTAAAACATTATGAGCCAGAGCCAGAAACATTAAAGTCAAAAGGCACTTGACATTGACTTTATTGATATAAGCTCTGATCCTGCTCCCATTTAAGTATTCTATGCTTGTCACATGCACATATCTTATTATTTGTAAATCTGCTGCTACTAGGCTGAAATTTCTCTAAGCTGCCAAGGAATGTGGGTAGTGATTTTCATCATTCCTAGTAGCTGATGTCTTTGGACACTTTCCCTTACCTCTACTTACTGTTGTGCATAATACACAGGTGTTTCTTGATCAAAGATGCTTTTATAAATTACAGTAGGTGGCATACATCATAACATAATCTAAAACTTTAAGTCGGTTTACACAGAAATTTGCAATTTGCCTGTTCATCACTAGGTACATGATTTATATTATACCTAGCACTTAYGATAGAAAATAACTCTTTTGAAATATACTGAACAGAAACATGTATATATACAACATTTTGAATGATATTTGGTCTAGAGATGTCAATTTGGATAAAAAAAGAAAATTTTTGGTTTTTTATCTTGACAATAATCAAAGAGGATATCTTTCGAGGACTCCATTTCCTATTGGTTGAAGAGTAATGGTGCAAAATACACATATTTTGTGGTATTTTACACTTTTGATTTCTTTTTATGCCTGATGAAGTAGAAATGCAAATTCTTTGGACTTGCCCTCAGGCGGTTTTTAATACTAACTTCTTCTTCCTGAAATTAGATGAGTGAATTTCCTTTTCCTTGGTTTATTAGCTGAAAGTGATGCTGCAAAGGTTTATATATAGATATATAGACACATATAGATATAGATAGATATAGAGATATAAAAAGATTTCTGGAGTGGTAGTCGTTGTTTTTCAAACAAATTAAGCCACCATCATTACACATTGGAAGCTTGCAGGTTAGCTTGCCCACCAAGCTAATTTTGCCTGCCTTCTTGCCCTCATGATTCTACCAACATTTGACCAACCATTTGACCCATAAATCTGAAGTTTGGTGGAACCGTGTTCCTGTTTGCTGAAGACTTGAGTAACTTAGCCAAGGTCCTGAGAGAAATTTTCAGAAGAGCCCATAAACTGAATCGAACCCTGATTCAGTGGTAAAACCATTGTGGCAAATGCTTTCTCCTTGGGAATTAATAAATAAGGAAAAAAAATACAAGTCTTCTTGTCATAGCCCGGTTAAAAACATTAAATAATTGGGAAAGTTTGAAAATTTTACAAGTGATATTGCCTATGGAGATAAATTTTTTTGCAAAGTCTTCAAAAAAGAAATTCTGTAGGTTTCAGACAGGACAGATTCTATTTATGCTTTAAAAAAAAWCTTAATTGAGAAAATAGATTTGATAAATTGTTATTAACAAAATGTATTCWTTTCTCTTGAAGAAAAACAAACTGTTTTATTCCCTTTCAGACTGTTCTTATATTGGATCTGTATATACTGATGGCAATGTGCTCAGCTTTACATTGGATGTTTCTAGATGTTTGCATTAGATGTTAGACATATTTCATTAAAATTCATTGGKGAGGTTCTTGTTGCTTTTTGACTAGAATGTTTTGATGCAGTAAAACAAATCCATCGTGTGCAAGCGCTTACTGGCAAGGTTTTATTTAAAAATGTATACTTTCTTGTTGGTAGAAGCCACATGCTAAATAAATGCTTTACTCTGCAGAGTGAAAGGTTGCGTGATCTTGATAAATGTTTGCATGATTTTCTTCCCTTCCTACAGCACCCTTAGTCCAGATGTTGATCCAGTGCTTGCCTTCCAGCGAGAGGGTTTTGGACGCCAGAGCATGTCAGAAAAGCGTACAAAGCAATTTTCAGATGCCAGTCAGTTGGAGTTTGTTAAAACACGAAAATCCAAAAGCATGGATCTAGGTAGTGAGTGATATTTTTTCAATTGTTTTATTTGAACCTGGTTTTAATGTTGTAAGTATATCGATTTTGTAATTCTAAATACATGCTTTATGTGCAGTACTGCTGCACAGAGAGTGTGCTGGGGTGAAGTGTTCACAACATGAATGGCCAAGCGGTTGGTGGATTGGTCCTACCACTTGTAAATGTCCATATATTTAAGCAAAATAGCCCTGTGGATATGTGATTACATGTGAATATAAAATTTATTTGCTAAGATGGAGGTGTAAAATGCATTTAGCTACCCATGTAGAATACCTGCTTTAAAATGTAGCATGCTGTCCTTCTGGATAGACAGGGTTATGCTTAATTCATGATTATAATGCAGTTAGTCTTAAAGATCCTTGGTAGTTTCTCATTTTCTGCAAAACTTTTAATTAAGATAATAAAGATGCAAGTAGTTTTAGGAAGAGGTTACTCAGAAATAGAAAATGGATATAGTCTGACTTCTGTCCGAGACCCAAGTTTTATAGTTATTTCTGAAGACCTATAAAGTAGCAGCAACTAAGAAAGTCTATTGACCATAATTCTTTCTAGCTTATAAAACAATTGAGAATAAGCAGTTTCTAACAAATGCATCTATTTTTCTGCCATTGAATTTTGATTCTGCCCTTCAGAATCTAGCAATCTTACACAGGGAGCTTCGAGTGCGCCCACACACAAGTTCAGTACTCAGCATCGTAAAATATAGTCAGATTTGTTCTAAATAATTATAACTACCTTAACTACAATCCTTAATTCACCACCTTCCTCAGAGGGCAGTAAGGCTGGTGGTGTTCACTTGTCTTGACTAGTTGTGATGCGCTAACGTGTCAATAACATGTTGTAGCTGCCTGCGAYGTGAACATGACTGACACTGCATGAAGGTTCCTCGTTTGCCGCCGTTCCTACCCAGAATGTTTGCTTACTGTGGCAGTTTGTTTGCATGAAGTGACATGGCTAAGCCCCCCCCGCCCCTAACTTTGAGGAGTTTATAGGAATAGGGAATGTTGGATGCATGTGGGGCATGGGCACTAACTGGGCTAACCATTCTACATTTACCTTTTAACAGTAGCTGACGAGACTAAGCTCAGTACAATGGATGACCAGAAAACAGGTAAGAATTGACAGTAAGGCTGTTGCTATAGAAACCTTGGTCAAAGCAGCTTACCACAATTACAGAACTGCCAGTCAAATTGCATGAAAACATGAATATTCCAGTACTTGCATGGCTGCTTTCTATTGTTGTGAATAATCAAGTTGTACAGAAAAAGAAAATTCTCCATAGAGATAAGTATCTAGGGTAGTRTATTCAAATAGGTCATACATACGGCTGTAGGTAGACACATGTTTCTACACTTGGAGCTCATAAATATTCACAGTTGTTTTAATTTTTGTCCTTTTAAATAAATCTTGGGAAATCTCCTAGCACAAGCTAGTGTGCAGAGGGATGAAATGGGAGAGCTGCATGTTTGGCTTTTACGGTGTTAACTACGTGCTTGAAAATAGCTATTTTAATTCCCAAACTGCTGTCTTTGCATTAAGTGGTCATCAGATCCGTATTGTGAGCTGAGCTGAAGACTATTAGTGCACTTTGATTTGCCTTAGGAATTAAAACCAAGCTTCACTGCGGAACAAAAGAATATGTAAATAGAATCTTTTCCACACACCATAGATTGTAACATGTTTCACACAATGATAATGACAAATAGCTTTGAAAGCATATTTTTATTAGTAATTAAAATAGTGCACTAGCTGCAATTATAAACCTTTATGATTTATTAATATGAGTTAGCTTTTGACCTTTGGAATGCTGTTTTAATTAGGCTAGATCCAGAGAACACCAAAACATTACTTAGCTCTAATTAGGAACAATTCACCTTTTTAACCTGAAAATATTATTTATTTTAACATGATTTGGGGAGCAGGACATTTGATGCAGAATTTATGATTAATGTTTCTCAATTGCTTCTCTTTAACCACATTTTACATCACTGAGGAGCTTTAAGAAAATCAACTGAAGAAATCTTTTCATTAAAATAGCTAAAACTTTCGGACTTGAAATCTTACAGAATATGGCCACAGACTTGCAGCTTCACAAACTGAGTACATGAAATTAAAATGTATGAGTGTTTTGAAAGGATTAGAGCCATCAGAGCTTGAATGTATGAGCTGTGTTAATGGTTATGGAAAGAAACACTGCTTGGCAGCTCCCCTAACCAGTGAGCACTATTCACACAAAAAAGAAGCTACAGATAATGCTAAGATTTGTTGTAAATTACTTTTCATTTTCTTTTTAGCCTGCTCATTGGGATGCAGTTAGGATGATGTAAAATCTATGCAGATTAGAAAAATATGATGCTTAGATTTAAAAGTTCATGATGTTTTGGTAGTATTTATGGAATACAGTTTTTCTGTATGTGCCACCTGGATTAAATTCCTTAAAGAGACAAGTCAGACAGCTTGGGTTAAAGAGCATGACCATAACCATCTGGACAAAGCAGTTACATATTTTGTGTGCAGCAAGCTCAGTGGCTGGGAAAAAAGGAAAACACCTTTTACTGTACTTTCATTTTATTTATCTTGCATGCTTTTAACCAAGTTTTGTATATAAACACTGACTTTCTCCCGTTACTGAAGATGGATGGGGTTGTTACACAAACCACTTACTGTAGTTTGGCTTAAAAATTTTCTGCTTATAAGCAAAAAATGCTTCAAATGCATAGCGAGCTATGTTTTAATGAATTGTAGAAACAAGAAACTTTCACTATATATTTATTTTTGGAAAAATAAAAACAAACTCTGTTGTAGATGAAGTTCAGTTTAATAATGCTGACTGAAAATGAAAGTGTAGATCTCACCAGCACCAGTTACTATAATAGATTTTTAATTATTTTTCTTTCTACAGTTCACTTAAACTGCCTAGTCCTTGCAGTGTTTACAGTTCATTCTAGAGGTTAGAAGTATACTCAGTAGCAGTTGAGCATGCCTCATTTATTGAGTCTTAAGCATACTGTAGTTCTGTTTTTTTTCCATGCAGACCTTGTAAAAATAAAAAAAAAAAAAAAAGCCAAGTGAATTTATTTAAAATATTTATTTACTTACTTTGCATTTATTTTATTAAAAAATATCACTTTTATGAAAGGGAAGAAAAATTAAGCTACTCTTGATAGCACTGGAGTTTCTTGCTCTATTCCTCTCCCACTTCCCCATCCACCCAAAATGTCGCTCCATTATTGTGTCAATTGAACTAGAAATAGAAGAATTTATCAAATCCAGGGGTGCAGATGTTAATATGCAGTGGATTTGACTCTCTGCTTACGTCTTTTAAGGATGTGTTTTGAAGGTAGTCTACGTCTTTGCAATAGTGCTCTAGACCAACAGGGAGGCAAGGGTTTGGTACAGGTGGCTRCTGGCATTTAATGTGAGAATTAATAAAAATTATTTTTCGGTTGAAGCTAATATAAGAATTATGTGTCTCTCTAAATTCCAGGTGTCTCTTTCGTAGTTTCTTTGAGTTAGGAGCTTAAGAGTAACCTTTTTTTTTTTTCTTAGCACTCATTCTACTTTAGTGGTACACACTTACAATTGCAAGATAAACCTTCTTAAAGAAAGGAAATTGTCATTTTAAATCATTTAAAAGCAAGTGTGATGAGGAGCTGCGTGGCTGAGCATGCACGAAGGGGAGGCTCTGCATGTCCTACAGCAGGAGCATTGCTGGGTTGCAGGTGGCTGAATCCACATCAAAGAGTATTTGGTAATAAAAATGTTGGAAAAGCAAATTCAAATTTTAAAAAACGATAAAAGAATCCCTTTCATCCCTCAGTCATGTACAGACTCTTTCGCAAGGTGCTTCTTTTTTATTTTCTCTTTTAAATCCAAGTGTCAAAGTAGAAGTAGAGCTTATTCTGAGTAGATAACATTTCTGATGATTACTGCCAGCGCTGAGGTCCAGGAGAAAAGGCTGACATTTTTGTATTTGGAAAAAAAGGTTTTGATATGACTCATAAATTTTAAATAGAATTCATTTTAAAGAAAGTTTTCAGTTCTTTACCAGATTATAGGTAAACAACACACTTTCTGGCTGGTGAGTTCTAGTCATAAAGTCTGAACTCACTCAATTTACAAGGAGGCTTAACCATTCGTTTTGAAAATAGCAGCTTTGCTTTGAAGAGGCCATAGAAAATACTGAAGGTATTAAAATATACATAGCTTTTTGATCACGGTTCTTAAATTGCTTGTGAAAAGACATTTAGCTCTTTCAGATTCTGCAACCTGTTCACATTTGTGTCCATGGCCACCCAAGTTCAATAAATACTCCTATCATTTCTGTAGTCCATTATTAGTTTTACAGTGCTCAAGGAACATTAGGTCATATCCCATCTAGCTTCTCCTTTGGGAAAGCACAACTTATATAAATATTGTTCTCACAAAGATCTGTGTTGGGTAGCAGGAAATGGAATTTTTTTAATGTCCTTTATGAGCATAAATGGGCACATAAATGCTTGCTTTATAATTACTGTTTACAAAAAGAGCCATTCAGTAATTAGGAAAAGATATATGAGCATTTCATTTAAAAGATTGCAAAGCAGATTCAGGAATAAGGAAGTTTACAGTAAGTTGCCATGTAAGAGGATACTCTTTCCTTTTGTGTATAAAATCAAATCTGTCAAACAGCTGGGCTTGCCTTTTTTTTTCCTTTCAAAATGTTGTATTCCTTTTTTTTTTTCTTTTTTTTTCCCCCATGTCTCAGAGGCTAATTTTAACAAAATATAAATATTTAAAATTAAAAAAAAAAAACAACCAAATTTGTTTTACTGCAAGCTTTATTGGAGGGGTAGCAAATCTTGCCATGTGCTGGCGAAAGGACAGTTTTGTGAGCACTGTCTCTCTGCTGGAGTTATTTTACTTGGTAAAGAAAGATCTTTACCAAGTAAAAAAAAGTAAGTAAATGCAATCGAGCAGCAYGTAAAAGTGCTCCATTAGACTCCAGCCCGTGCGCAGGAGGGCGGCGAGGCTGCGTGGAGCTTGTTTGCACAGCTGGGAGGTCACCAGAGCTCCCTGCTCCTGGCTGTGCAGAGCCCCCGCTCCGTCCCTGACCCTTGGTCCCCACCARAAACGCGCTAGGAGCGCGGGGGAAACGTCTAGGAGATGGGAAGCCTTCAAAAGAAATTTCCCACTTTGTTGAAGGGTGTTTAATTCCAGCTGAGGGTGCAGACAGCAGGACCCTGGGCTCTTGGCTGGACCAGGCTGCTGCATTTGTATAGAGCTGTGAGACAAGTTTGTTTTGTTTTGTTTCCAAATTGTTTACAAATTCATGTTATCCCTAGGGCAGCTAAATGGGAAAACTTGGACACCTGCTCTTTGATTTTATTAGAACTGCAGCATTTCAGTTCTGCTTAATTTCTCAGGTTTTTAAAAGCCGTTCTCAGATTTGTGAAAGCTGAGWGGGAAAGGAAAGCATTTGCTGCCCTGCCCGGTGTCATAGCGTGGCAGCCAGGAGCACGGAGACCTGCCRTGCTGCTCCTGGGCAGCCCTCGTAGGTCCAGCAGCTCCTTCCCCACCCACCGCTGCCTGGTGAGGGGACCTGGGTTTATCATGTCTGCGTTTTTTCCATTTTACATAGTGTGGTTAGAGAACTGTCCCTCTCTCCCCTTCTGATCCCCTGAACTGCAGAGGAGGAGAAGCTTGATATTCTGATAAAAATACTTAAAAAAGAAAACACCCCCTTATAGCATTACTCACCCCAGACTTTGCTTGTAAAGCTATTGCTTAATGGTCTGGTGTTCCGGAGGGCTCTGCTTTTGGCTCTGCCTCTCCTGGCTGGCTGGCTTGGAACAAGTCACTTGAACTTTCCATCCCTCAGTATGTTGAGAAGAGCAGTATCAGCCGAGATGGTAACTGGCCCTCACCAGGGAGTGCCATGGCCACAGCTGCCTTCTGGACTCCGGAGGAGAAAGAGTCTAGTCCTCTGGAGGAAAAAGAGTCCTGTAGCCTCGGTAGAAGAGCTGTCTTCTTCTAACTTCAGCAAATTTGGCTGTGATGATGTCCCACCTTGGTTTTCCCTCTAGCTGCAGTTTTATCTAGCGAATCTTATGGAAAACCTGGCCAAGATTATKCTGCAGTTTGGAACAAAATCACTTCAAATAAGCGCAGGAAATTAGTTTGACTGGGATCTCTCTCCCCATTTTAACTCTAATATGAAATCTCTTTGTGTACTTGTGTGCCAATGTACAATGTCAGYGTGTATCTAACTGCAAAGGCTCAGCACCCTATCCACAAACCTGAGCAGAGAAGGCTGGATAGGGAAGGGGTTTTGTAGGATGYTGTCTAGGACTTTCCTGGCATCGTCTGCACATCCTGCAGCGATAAGCAGGGCCCCCAGCTCCAGCTGCAGTGCTGCCCACACATTGATGTGATACCTGCCAGAACTGTGTTTCTTTTCCAGCTGGATAACTGGTATTATAACTGAGTTTTTGCTACAGACAATTTTCTATACAAATTGACAAAATCCCAGCAAGTCAACTGATATTTCTCAGAAGCGTTTCATTATGAGGTTGTTAGCTATTTGAAGCAAGTGTTTAAAACTCAATTAAAACCAAACAACCTACTACTTGATGCTAGAAATTAAGCTCCTTCACAAGAACTTTACTCTGAACACAACAGGATTCACATCCATAATACATTTGCTAATTGTGCAACACTTGCAAGTACCTATGTAATTTTCAACTCGAAACAAAAATAATTATTTTGATTGCCGGTTATATATGTATCTCTGGTGTTTTATCAGTAATATTTTTAAAGCCAAATGATTACTTTGTCATCTAAATTGTCCAAATAATGGTAATACATATTGCTGTCTTTCAACTGATTTGAAAAGCCAGACATTGATAACGTTGTCAGTTTTGTTGACTGTTACTTGACATCCTCATTCACTTCTGAGACACCAAACCTGCACAAAATTCCCTACAGATTAYTGAGAGATGATGTGAATAATCTTAAGTGTGTCCCCAAAGACTTTCACGATGGATATGCATAATCAACCATGCAGTTTTCCATACTTATTCTAATTACTTTTTTTTTTCCCTGAATCACTAAGGTTCCCCAACCAGAGATGTGGGGCCTTCATTAGGTCTGAAGAAATCCAGCTCATTAGAAAGTCTGCAGACGGCCGTGGCTGAGGTGACCTTGAATGGGGACATTCCCTTCCACCGCCCGCGCCCCCGAATAATCCGGGGACGTGGCTGCAATGAAAGCTTCAGAGCTGCCATAGACAAATCGTACGATAAACCCGTAGCAGATGATGATGACGAAGGCATGGAAACTTGTAAGTAACCTACTGCTGTACGTGAAGAGTTTTAATAAAGATGAGTTCCTTAAAAGATGATTAAAGTAGTAGAAGCTGATTTTAATATTTTAAGTGAATAAGATGAACTTGTCATTAAGTTTATTCAAGCTCTTGTGCTTCGTATGTGTTATCAGATTGTAACACCCCGCAGTTTTCTTCCTTCTTAAAATAAGCGAATAAGATTATCAGGAGTGTGTCTATTTAAATTACTTGCTATGAAAATTTTCTGCTCATTAATTTATTAATGTAAATTAGCAAAATTTTTAGGTAGTAAGAAAAAAAGCACACATTAAAAATATGTGTGCATCTAACTTGAAAGAGCACATTTGTAGTGTTTGGGGGGGAAAAAGAAATCACTATCCTTTAATTAGAATGGGTAAGGCTGGCAGATCTAATAAAATATAAAGTTAATGATCAGTTATTACCCACCCTAATGGGCATTCATTTACATTTTCAGTTCTTTAACCCCAAGTATGACCCAACATGTGGAGAATGTCATTAACATAAAAGAATCACTTCAAAGCTAACCTTATCATTATTGAACTATGTGAGAATGGGCTGSTAAAATGACAACTCATATGGAATGAAAATAGTATAAATGGTAAATTACATCTACCAGGGGTTGTATTAAAATAYTGAATTTTTAACCTTCATGTTATACTATTTTCAACTTGTCACACACTAGCAGGATTTTTTTTAATCAACCTTCTGTTAGTTAAAAGTTTATGAATGAAGATGATGCCAGGAAAGCTTAAGTATTGAAATATTTAGTCTGAGTGCTGACAGAAAAATCTTGAAAGGGATTTTTCTCTTTTTTAATTTCAGAAAGTTWATTTCATGAAGTGTTATTTTCTGTAAAATTCTGTTATAAGCATCTTGTGTGATCACCCGTCCATTTTTTGGAACTCTTCGGGCATTTATAATTTGCCTGTTTCTAAAAATATTCTGAGACTGAAATGAAGGTCATTTTGTGAGTCAGTTTTCTCAAAGATAGTTAGGGGCAGAATTCATTCTGCTTTGCTTTTCCAGCACCTAGCAATTTCACGCAGCAGCGAGGCTAAGAGCTGGCCTGGTGCTGCTGGCTGTCAGATCTCTTTCTGACCAACAGAAGAATGGGCTTGAGAAAAAGTCTAGTGGTTCTGATCATTCTTCCCACTGTGTGTCTGTGGTCTTTGGGACCTGAGGCCACATTTTTCTAACAAATGGACTTGTTTTGGTGTGACCCAACTGATGGTAACATCCTGCTTGAGGCATCAGATGTCCAAGAATTATCCGGAAGTTACGGAAGATTTAGCCTCATTTGATCAAAAATACAGCAAAACTGTTATCATGAATCGCTGTTGAGGCGATTGCTATAGGTTTATGGCATTACTGCAAGGAGTTTTGAGCGTAGTGATGCAATGCATATAGAGAATAGCATGAAGAAGGGAAGGCAGACCAAGCTTCTGGCGGCCATCGAAATGCTGCAGGATGTGTGTTAGTCTGTGCAGATGCAGAGGTCTCGAGTTGACCAACTGTGATCTGTACAGGTGAGGTTGTTCTCAGATTTCAGAGAATAAATAAGACCTGAAAAAGCTGTGACCAAACTATGTGCAGTCAGCTAGGTCTAACTGTAGTGAACATTTTCCCCTTAAAACTACATAAAATGTATAAAACTGCACATTTTAAGTTGCATGTATTTTAGTAGCTTCCATACACCACAATGAAATACCTAGTGACAATATAGAAGCTTGCAGTGCAGGGAGTGGTGGAAGAATTGAGCAAATATAGTAAGTGGGCTGGACCAAATTCACTGCTAGGAACAGCACGGATGCCCTCTGAGTTCGCCCTTTCTCATGGTGGCTGGTGGAAGCTGTGGAGTTGGCCTGGTCCTGGTGAGACCTGGAGCAGAGCAAAGTGCCAGATGCTGGGGCCTGTCTTTCTGAAGGCATGTCTGTGTCTGTGCTAAAACTGCAGTCTGCTCCATTGTAGGTAAATTATATCAGGCCTCTGGTTGCAGAGAATTTGCCAAATGGTGTCTTCAGCTGGGCAACGTCTGGACACCTTTGAATATACAGAAGTTAATTCAACAAGCTGGTCGTAATGTAGCTAATGTCTTGCTRCTGCCATAACTGCATGGGCTGAGTATATTTTTAATTGTCTTTAATTATTCTAGAATTGTTTGGAATTAAACTGTGGCTTTCTGTCATTGTAAAGCCCAGGCAAACATGTTGGTGGTCAATTTGCTGGTGCCCATGAGGATGAATTCATTTGTCTTGCTTGAGATTTTTCCTTTTACTCCTCCAAATGTTTCAGTGCAAAGAGTGCTCCTTTCTTAAACACAGTGACCCTCTCTGGATAGCAAATAGCAGCACTGGTTTGTATTTTATAGAAGAATTGTTAACATGTCCTCACCTCATATAAGAAAGCCATCAAAGTACACGTAGTGTCTCAGGCAAAGGGGCGGATTCTCTTCTTTCARTGTGTGAGCTGTCCTTGGCACAGTGTGTGATTGAAATTGCCAGGCTAGAATGAAAACCCAAGAGCAAGGCCCATGTCTGGGGAAGCATTTTATGAGTTTGAGAAGCTGCATCTGAGCTGTAGTGRCTGTAGTGAGGTAGCATTTGGGGAAGGGTGGGGGTGTTCAGCTTTTGCAGATGATTTTTCCTGATTTTTTTTTTCTTAATATTTGAAATAGCTGACTGGAAGCAAAATGTTTATCTTTAGTGTGCTGAATGAGAGCAACGTGGCTGAATTGAGAGCAGTCGGCAAAGCTTTCTAATCTTTTGCTGAATCTTAATTGCTAGAATCTACGGCTGTATTAAATATCACAATGAGAGGCCGAGAAGCTTGGTGGCAAAATAGCTTCACATTAAAGAGCTTTGATTTCTCATGTGCATCTTTTTCAGTTTATGGCCTAATTAGGAGAATAGCTTCATAATACCTGTTTCTGTACTTCTCTTTAGTACAGTTTGGCTCATGAAATTACTCTAGTTTTCAGCTTTAATGGATCTTGAAAGCATACCTCAATTTAATTTTTTGGCTCTGCTATCCTGGAAGAGGAGTCGGGGAGTGCAGGAATGGAGGGAAGCAGCAGCAACCGAACACAAGCAGGCTGCCTTTTGCAGCAAGCTGCTGCCATCACTGCAACTTAGCAAAAACGAGAAGTTTCATTTGTAGCCTGGGCTTGAATTTTAATTGGGTAGCATTTGCATTTGTTCTAAACACTAGTAATTAGGTGTATGTTACCTTCAGAAGGATGGTGCTGCATAAAAGTGAAACAAGTTTCATGTTGTGCCTTTTTAAGAAAACTGAAAATCTCTTTACGCTCCTAGAGATGCCAGCATTTACTCCAGGAGAACAGGCATGCCAGTTCACAGGGTTCATTCGGAGCTAAGGAGTTAATTGCTGATGAGCTGTGTGTGATGGGCAAATATTTATTGCAGCACAGGAGCAGAAAGGAGGCAATATGATTTCCGTAGGATATGCAAAAGGAATGATAAAGGAGGAAGCATTGTTATGACAAGTTGTTCAGCAACTCTGCATAGCACAATACACCTAGTACATATCTAGGATTAATGTATTGTCATTTTGAATATGAACAAATTTGTTCATCTTTAAAATTCTAGCAAGTCCACAGTAAACATTTGACTTAAGAGTTTGCCAATTTTTTAATGCTTTTTTTTAAAAAAAAATTAATTTGCAGGCACAGTCATATAAATGTCCAGTTGGTTTTAACTGGAACAGATTGTACCTATAAATTATCATGCAAAAGAATGGAATCTCTATTCAAATGTGGTGTTCCACTACTCTTAATAAGAATTAAATATAATCTGGAACTTTTAGAGACATTGTGATTTAAAAAAAAAAAAAGTACACCCAGTATAGAAATATACAGAGAAGAGTCATCATTTAATTTTCTAAACTACAAAAATACAGTAATCTAAAAAACTATGCCTGCAATTGAAAAATGTCAGCATCTACTTAACTCATAGCAGTTCTGGTGATAAGTTAATGRCATGAATTGCCAGGATCATTTTTATTTATTTATTTTTTCCCCTCTCTGGTGGGATGAGCTTCAGAGTATTGGTTAAGATTCAAAAATAAGTGTTAATGCTGAGTTTTATCTGACAAGAGATGTGTTTAAGTGATGTTCCCAAGTTGGACAATGTTTGCAGAAATCTTGGGACATCTGGTGAATAAGAACAGTCTCTTGTCACATCTGTGTATTGTAGTACAAAAAAGTGAAGAGTTTGGTGTCTTGCAGGCCAAGTATATGACTGAGTGAAGAAAGAATATTGAATGGCTTTCAGTGAGTGAGAATGTAGATTTTTCAGGCCCAGTGAATTATTTGGAAGGTGAATATGAAAGATGACTAAGAAAAACAAGTTTCRAAACTATAAAGATATCTACATGTGGGAAATTTCTAAAGAAACACTCATTTCTACTGGTTGTAGAAAAGTCTTTGAGATTTTCAGGTATAACAATAACAATATATATAACTTTTTATATATGTGATTATGTTTATAAGAGAAAATCATAGGCTACTAAAAACATGTTTCTGTTTAAATCAAAATAATGGCAGGATTCTGATACATGAGCTTGAAAATTGTCCTTTMTTTCTCAGTGTTCTATTTAACCTAATTTTCTCTGAGATTGTCTTAATTAGAAGCAGAGAAGAAATACACTCTCATCTCATAAAAGAATACATTCTCTTCTCTTTAAAAATGCTACCTGGCCACTGGATAGTATCCTCACACYTAAGGCTGTGCTGTCTCTATCAGTGTTACTGCTTTGGAAGAATGGAAACCTGAGGTGTAATGAAGTTTATACTGCTCCTGGCAATGAATTAGGAAAAAAAAAATCTTTGTGGTACTTGCAGCAACAGGAAAGATCTGCTAAGACTTGTGTTGGGGGTTAGCAGTCCTTACTGACATTTATATTTTCATTAAAGTGTTACTAAGTTTTTTCTCACTGTGCACCCTACTCTGCTGTTATTTCTTGAAGTCATTCCTAAAACTCTTCTTAACAGATTTAAATACTGAAATGAAGGGGCAAGGTAGCAACCCTTTATTAATTCTTACATTATTTACAGTAGAAACAAAGTACAAATCCTGGAAAGGTAAGTTCCTTGCTTTGGATATTTTAAGCTTCCTAATAGACATGAACGTTTTAGGAAAGTCCAAAATGAACAGATACTTATTTTGAAAACAAGGACATCTTTTGCAGTTATGTCTGTATTCTAATTCCAAATATATTTTGTAATGTTCTGAAAGCAAACAAACAAAAAAGCTTTGTTCTTACACCACTTAAGTGCCTGAATATTCCTTTTCAGTGGAGGAGGACACAGAGGAAAGCTCAAGATCTGGTAGAGAATCTGTGTCCACAGCAAGTGACCAGCCATCCCACTCCTTGGAGCGGCAGATGAATGGAAGCCAAGATAAAGGTGACAGGAAAAAGGCGGGGAAAGAAAAGAAGAAAGATCGAGACAAAGAGAAGGAGAAAATTAAGGCAAAGAAAGGAATGCTGAAAGGCTTGGGAGACATGTTCAGGTAGGTGTTTTGTAAGAATGAATTATAGAATGAAGCTTCATATTTATTTGCTCTTTTATACTCTGACCATTTCCTGAGGCCATTTTTTATATACAAAAATGTACATCATGTGTATAGGTTCACCCTTCATAATTTCTAAGTTTATTGGTAGTGTTATGTGAAGGAAGAAGCTCAGCATGAAAGGGAAGCAGTTGGCTAGTGGGCTGGAAGAGCTGCAAGGGAAATATGTTTTAAACATTCAAGCTGCCTAGTCTTGGAAAGAGCCTTTGGTGACGTCTAAGCAGTGCATGTGTGCCTTGACACGTTAAAAGTTTTGGGTTTTTTTTCCTCTTACACTGGGCTCTTCCTAATCTCATACCAMAAATGTGTGTGTTATTAAATCAGGCTTTATCTTTACTATAATGCCTGTTTGCTACTATGGAAGCATGATGGGAAAGCCATGAATCAGTTTGAAATTGAAAAGCAGCATGTTCATCTCCAGGAAAACAGAATCTAAATAAGGTTATGTGCTCTCAGAACCCACAGGCTGGTGAAAGACTTTTTTTTCTTTCCAAGCTGCAAGATTGGTGAAAGCCTTGATTTTACCAAGCACAGAGATTTTTTTTTGGAAATGACATAAATGTTCTGAAAGGAGCAGGCTGCTGAGGGACACCCTGCTGCTCTGAGTACATGGTGAAACGTGACAGGCAACTTGGATCACTTGTGGGAAGGGGTGAGAGGGAGACGAGATTGGTCTTTATTTTAGCTAGGTAGGGTCAATAAATATATTTCCAAAAGAAAATAATATCAAGACTGTATTAGATTTCTTTTATATATTTAGTGGTTCATTATTTAAATATGCAATGAAAAATAGGTATCAATTTAAAGATTTATTAAAATGATTGCACTGAAAACATGTACGTATAGCTTCAGTGAACTTATTTCCTGTTATGTTCTTTATCCCGTAAAACATTAATTGATTATAGGTTGTTGCTCAAGACTTGTTCCATGACTTTGTATCATATTGCAAAAATTGTTACTTTTATATTTAAAAAAAAAGCTAGAAAATACTAGTTATATTTAGAAATTGCAAAATAATGTCAGATTATTTGGCTATATATGCCATGGAATGCCAAAATGAGAAGGTCTCACRCTTCAGATAGCAGGAAAGTGCTTCAGGCTGGTCGGGCATAAATCCCACACAATCTCCTTACCTTCTTCGTGTTTGCCTGCTTAGATTGAAGAGTTCTGCTGTCAGGTAAAACCTTAGAGTTTGAGCCTGTGAACATCATTAAATTGTTCTGTGAGACATAAACTCCCATAAAACTCGAGTGGAGAGTTGCACTGAAAACTCAGTCCCAACATTATTCACTTGAATAGAGGCTTAAAAATCCAAAGTGCAGACAGGTTCTTTCCTGCAATCTTACCTATTTTTCTACAGCTTCTTGATTCTTTATTTCCATGGAACATAAGTAATTTATTGGGTAAAATGAGGGCCATCCCTTGAGTTGCAGTATGACACAGCGCCTACAAAGTTGAGCAGCTCCTCAGTCCTCAATTTTCTCCAACCATTCGCAGTACCCTGGGGTGCACTGAGAGAGCTTCTTGCCCTTGCAAATTTTAGCACACAGTCAGCAAAATCCTGCCCAAGTGAAGGAGGCTTCATCTTCTGCAGAGCTGGATTGTTTCAGGCTCTTCAGTTGTTTTCAGCCTTCTGGCATTAGAGCTTGACGTCTCCTATTTCCATGCGGCCCGGGAAGCTTTAGATGGCAAAAAGTGCAAGAGTGGAAGCGAATGCCATCTTTAATCATGCACTTCTGGTTTCTCTYCTGACTTTTATAGTCAGTGTAAGACATTCAAAATCTTTAATTTGAAAACAACAGTAATTTGATGGATCAGAAAATCTCACRATAGCTTTCTTTTAGCTTTCTTTTTCACTCTTCATAGCAGTCAACATTTCCTTAAGGTGTTTTTGCCCTAGCACCACTTCTAAGTGAACTTCCCTTTTCAGTCTCCTTAATTAATGTGGGAGCAGTGCCATTGGGATGCAGTTTGACTCCTCCTGGATCTTTAAATTAACGTGCACCTTGTCAACCACCCAGGAGAAATGCTCCTGGCAAATAAGAAAATGCTGATCGAAGGAATTAAGCATTATGCCTCATTTCCACTCATTGCTTAGATTTCCTTTATTGACATGTTTCTCCATAGTGTTTGAGAGACGGGCTTTGTTATGTCTGCAAGTTAAGRTTGTACTTCTGCCTACAACACGTTTTGTTTTACTATTGATCTGACATATTTCATAGATGTCAGGTAGCTGGTGAAAAAAAGTGCGATAAAAATAATGATGGCAGTAACATTTAAAATTCAAGCCATGATCAAAGCATAATTGGATGTTTTTGATGCTTGGCAGCATTGTGATTTCTTGGTACCTCTATTTCTTTTCTCCGTTTTCACTTACGTCTTCCATTTCAGTGCCCTTAACTTTAATCTGTCTTCATTAGGTTATATGGGCAAGAACACTTGTGGGACGGAATTACTGTTAACTGACACTTTATTCCAATGTCTGTATATAGCCAAGGGGTTTTTTATTGCTATATGAAAACTGACAGCTCATAAAATGGAGCCTACATAACATATAAAAATAAGGCTGCTTGTGTCATTTAAAATCATAGGATTTGGTACTGGAATCTTCATTAAACTGTTCTGTAAGATGCAAACTCCCACTAGAGAATCCTAGGTTACATTAATGCTTCAGCATCTATTCATCATTTYCAAGAAATCCCCTGATGATTCAGGGATGTGCTATCGCACATTACTATCATAAGTAAATCTTTTAAATACTTACATTGTTTTACTGCTTTTATCAAACAGAATAAAGAGAATAGGCCTGCCTGTGGTCATGAACTGGGAATTGCGGGGTGCAGTCTGCAGGGCTCTTGCACACATAGCTCCCATTATTTCCAAAAGACCTTCACTCCCACTAGACCATGAACAGTCTGAAAGTTCRCCCTTCTCCCTGTGAAAWACATCTGTCTGCATATGTGTGTATTTCTCTTTCTTCAAATTGACATTTTAGGTCAGAAAAGATTAATATGAATTTGTCATTTGGCTTAGAAGTCTTCTTTCTATGCACAGWTTAGCATAGAGTACAGGTAAATCTAGAAAAATGTTGAAGAAAGACACTGGTCTTTGGAGTAATGCTGATATATTAGCTTGCTGCTGCTTGTGGGTGCTCCAGARCTCACTTATACCAAAATGTTTGTTGCTTGAAGGTAAAGCTTATACGTATCATTCCTSTGTTTTCCATGTCATCCCTTCAGTGGCATCTTATGCTCTTCCTATGGCTTTAATCACATCCAAGGGAAAGGTTGTTCTGTTCCTCCTTCTCCACTGCTGGTGTTTAAGTGGTGTCTGGGTGGCCACTGCCCGCTGAGGAAATGGTTTTTTGGAAGCTGATCTGCTATTCTGCTGTTTTTTCTGTGGGTTTTGTAAGAAGCCTTGAACGGGTGCTGTTTTGACATAAGAAGATTATTTTAAAAAGTATGTTTCTCTAAGTGCGATCTAAAATATGTATTTATTCGTTTTTAGATCTGATTTTATTTCTAGTAGAGATTTTGYGTCTTGATAAAATGGATCTGACAAAAACGATCAGTTGATAAATAAGTCATAGTAGTACTGCCTATGAAGAAGGCCTCATGTTTCACACACTGCACCTATGGTTAGTGCTGAAAGGGATACTATGGACTGTTGGGCTTCTACTTGTGAGTTTTGACATTTCTCTGCATAAAAGGAGAAATAATATATGCCTACTTCTCCTTCCTTGCACTTGGCCCAGTCAAAGGCAAGGTAGTTTCATTGAAAAATTCATGAAAGTGAGTCCTCTGCAAACGTGAAACAGGGAGATAGGACATTATTCTTAGTTTTTAGACTTTGGGTAATGAAATGGCAACGGTACTCTGCTGTGGTACATCTTGTCACTTAAGATCCCCAGATTTCATCCATGCTTATTTCCATGGTACAAGTTTGGATATAGTTCTGATGGTTCAAAATGATAGGCCATAGATGGATGAAGTGGTAGCTCAGTATCTTCCCTCAGCTTCCTTGAGTCATGTGCAGTTTTCCCTGTGGCTGCCCTGGGCCGTGGTTCTGTAACACGGTGACTTCACATGACTATGTCACCTTTTTTAGGGTTTATTTTGATCTCAAGAACGTTGGTAGCAAAACTCTCATTGGAGAGTTTATATTTGAGAACTCTCATTTTATAATAAAAGAATCATGTACATCAGATGGTCAGCAACAGGCAAGGGTGTGACCGAAGAACATCATCTTTAAAAGAAACTAAACCTTTAATATGTTGCAAATAAGGACAAAGTCGGGGAAAGAAAAGCAGCTTCAGGTTTCTGTAGCAGAGAAGGTCAAGCTATCAAACATGTCTTGCTGGAAACACAGTTATTGGATGTCAGTGCATGATAAGAAAAATGTGCTGAAACAAATAGAAATCAACATCAGATAAAAATGGATTTGCAGATACAGAAAGGTGCTGAAACTGCTGAGGTGAAGTAAGGATGCTGAGGGAACATGCTCTTTCTGTCTGATGCTTGAGTCTTGGCAAGAAAATACTTCCTTTGGTTTTGGAGGTTACTTATGAAATCAATTTAATGTCATTTTGAAGTAATTAGGGATAAGTAGGTTATATGAAATAAATACATTTTCTACTGTAGAAATTATTTTCTCTTACATAAACATACCTTTTCAATGGGATACAAGCAGTGTGTGTGGAAATTGGTGGCGTAAGACTAAGATTAATCGGTGCCTGTGTGATGGTGGCATTGGAGGCTTTACATTTCAAGATCTGTGCTGTAATGTTGTTGGAAATGTAAAGCTGTTACATACAATGCCTGGTCTTCGATTCTCTCTTGACTGCTTTAGAGTACAGGTGTGTGAATCAATGCACTAGATAGCCAATGCAAATGCAATATTCCCCAAATTTCCATTAAAATCTAATCCTACAATTACATTTA